GTTTGACGGTGGAGAGCTTACATCCATCCCACTGTTAGCTTAGGCCGCAAGGCGGCTTCCCAACCTGTTGGATTCTGGTTCATTCTTCGCAAGGTCTACCGTAACTGGATTCGGATAAGAGAGTTAGGCGGCTTCGCGCGAAAGGGAATGGATGCCGTCGGCCGAATGCGCTTCTACAGATCACAGGCTTGCGCACTATTGCTGACATTCCTCCATACGGTTTTAATACCAAGCCCGTCAATCCTCTTTCTATGAAATCTACTTTGCAATTCCAAACCGTTCTGTCTTCTAAGAGCTTGTCCGTTTCTTTGACGTCATACTCTTCGCACACCCTCTTACCGCTACAGCGGAAATAATCTAACCATTCAAATTGAAAGTGACCTCTATTCCGTGCAGTCCTGTTCTACTACCATCCTTCCCTAGATAATCCCAATTCGGGGCTCAACAAGGATTTAGTAACCAAGAGCCAGCCTGCGCTTCAACTCAGCATGAGGCGTCAGCCGATATTTCGATGACCACTATATGGTGCATGGTATGGTGTATGAATACGCGAGACACTTTGCCTACTACCTATATGCGACTGTTGGCCCCCAGAACCCATTCCAAGTAGGATGAAGAAAGCCGTACAATTTATGCATAAAGAATCTGTTTAAGGGCAGAGAAGGGGATGATGACGTAAAACTAGTAGTCGATGATGCTGAGTATCGTGTAACAGTGATGCGGAGCATACTCTGGTCACGACCAAAACATAAATCGTACCAACCCATCACCAAACTTCCTAAACCATACATACTGTCGGCATCCCAGAGTTCCCCATGTCCTAGTGTTGATGGGGTGGCTTACCAACCCCCCTTTCCCCTCTTCTTCTCCACTTTCCAGCGTAATTTCCACGTTTCCCTGTTTTGGCCGGCCGGCTACACCCGTTTGGCCCACATATATTTTATTAAAATAAAATTTTATATCAATTCCAGACAGGCCTACTGGCGCAATGGTAGCGCGTCAGATTCCAGACATTCGGAATATCCTGAAGGTTAGCCGTTCAAATCGGCTGTGGGTCAGTTTCTTTTTGCTTTACGAGAGAGGGGGAATGAATTCATTTTTTGCTGCGGTGTTGGGAATTTGAGAAGTGGATGAACATAAGAGGGATCTTTCAATTGCGTTGCGGGAAGTTTGCACGAGGTTTATGTTTTCAATTGTGAGGATTACACACCGGAAGTTGGTGATATCTCTGTCTATGACGAAACACATGATCATTATTAATACTGCATTGCAATGAATCCCATTCTATGGTCAGGTACCGTATCACTGGCGTATAGGATCTAGGTCTTAAAAGATATCGCAAGTCATGGTAGCGGATTAGGGGGGTCTTATATAGATATCTGTATAAACAAACTGTTAACGTACTTTTTCACAAGCGACCGGCCACTCTACCAAACTTCGCAGTCCATTAACACTACAACGCAGCAACTAAGAGTAGTTAATATGAGAATCATCTACATTATTATAAAGAATCATATTGCAAAAGAGAATACAGGGGATTGAGCCCTCTTCCAACTAACCGAGGTCGTGTCATAATAACCCCTCTGTTGCCTGAGCGGCAGCACTGGCAGATAGGGAACAGCAACTAGTAGCTGGTGAAACAACTCGCCATAGCTATAGTAGAATGGCTTAGGGTAAGGAAAAGGTGAAGATTTTTGAACTTTAGAGGGTCATTCCCCTCCAGTCGGATTTACTTTGCTCTAAACATTGATTCTATATGTTCATAGACCCGGTTGGGAACCAGGTAGCACGTTAAATTGAATTATTATTATTATAAAGAATCATTTTGACAGGTACGAGAGTTATGCATGGTCTCTTTGCAGCATCCACAGCGACGTTTCTATGCTGCAGTCTTATCAGTAGGCGACCCCTCCCCATGCCTTTTAGCCCTTTTTGCTGCACCAGCAACCTTTTTGAACATCTAGCACAGAATATGTCTTACATGTCAAGGCCTCTTTCTCCTTCCTGTATCCGCTTCCTTTCGCGTGATTTACGATTAATTGCGGCCTCAGTTGCTTTCTCAAGTCGCGCAGCAACACCACCTCATGGGGCAGCTTTGCTGCGCTCTTAGTGAGCTGCGTTTTTGAGGCAACTATCTAAGTTGGCGAAGAATATTGATACCCTTGAATTGGATTGTGAAGAGCACTCCAGACTGAGTTTCTAACCCGCAGAGGTTGCTAGGTATTTCGGCTCCTATAAAGTATTCTCTGCTGCAGGTGGTGTTGGCGGACGAAGTTTCATGTCAAACATCAAAAGCACTACCTCTGGGTCCAATGAGGCTAGCCAGCGTCTCGGAAGCTTGAGCAGATATTTTCTTTTATGAAGGCGCGCTTAAATGCTACTTCAAATGCTGACCGAATGAGTATAGCAGGTCACGCAGCGGCGGAGAATATGTGCTAACAATGCGGTTTTATAGCCCAAGGGCCACAGCGAACCTCGCGTACCATGCAGCCATGATTTCCCATTACGGTTCAGCACCCAAGCGCAAATACAGTTAATGCCATAAACGACATTTGCTATCAGCTGTACCAGGGCAGTCAGTGTATAGATTCTTGCACGTTCTAAAATACACGCGGCGGCTTCCACCGATTCTGAATATTCATTTAGTCCTGAATACTATATTAGTAAGCGCGCAATAAATGACTGGGGAAGTACAGAGCTTTTTCTCCAACATTCTTGAGTGCTAGAGTATATCTTCTTCCTCTTTTTCCTTCTCTCTTGTACCCTATTCCTTGTTTCTATTTCGCATCTTTGGTCTTTATTGACGCATAGCATATCAAACCTTTGAAGACTATTACTAGGGTGCATCGCGTTCGCAGCAGGTTGAATCTATCTAGTAGCTAACCGCAACGGTACGAAGCTGTTTAGTATGCAAGCGACGCAATATATTGCCAAAGGCGGAAATTGAATTAATTTGTATATTCCTTTCCCCATTTCTTACTTTAAAGATTGCATTCAAATTGGATTCCCAAGTTCGAAGACATAAATATTGCCAAAAAACCCACAAAAGTATTGCCAGAAAACCAAAAGATAGATTTCTAGGAAACCCAAGGAAATATTTGCAGGAAACACAGCTAATAGTTCCACGAACCCTGTAATCATGTTTGATACATACCGTCTCACCGCAGGAGATAGCTGTGTTGAACAAGTCAACGCATTTTTGCAGTTTTATCTTCACCTCATCTGCCTTATGTTACTTATCTCGGTCTTGAACAATGCCACATTGACAGATTTAAAGCTCTTCCTGTCCATGGCCCGTTCTACAAGCTCTCGATGATTTCGTGACGCGTCTGTTGGTCTGCAGTCCGGTAATCCTCTTGCGCCTCTTTATTTATCCTCCCCTAGACCACGAATCTCCGTTATGTGCTTTCCAATGCCCGCACATATATAGACTTAAGCTGCTTTCTGACCTCAATAGCTGAGCGAAACCGACAGATTTCGCCTTCAAGTTGCGAAAGCTTGTCCATTACTGCTGCATCTGCTGCCGATGCCGGCTCGCGACATTTAATCTCGCCCAAGTGGTGAAAGGCCAGATTCACGTTCACCTTCGTTTTAGACAAGGTATGTAACCCGAAAGATAAGCACGATTAGACAGAGAGCTTTGCTCTCCTCTCCATACAATTAATAAAGAGGCTGTATTTCCTGTCCAAAGGTTTGTAGCGGCTGCATATCTGCAACGTCTTCAAGGAAGCCGACCTGCAATCACGCCGCCAATTGACTCCGGCAACAACGACGACAGCAAAAAGAATAATAATAATGGAGGGAGGAAGCGCGATGTCGAAGACTCTGGTGATGAAGCGATTCTGGCGGCCGAGAGATGCATAAGAAAGTCAAGTGTCAGTACTCCAGGTTACAACAACTTCAGAGGCAAGTGTTAACGCGAAATCAAAGACGTAGTTAATACACAATGCAGTCAATGTTTCAGTCCTGGGAAAGCGCAAAGAGCGCGTTTTCCAGAAGGTAAATAGGATGTTTGAACGATTGTTATGGTCATTCCTTCAAGAGCCAGTCATTAGTCATTTAGAGAAAGATACGAATTCCCTCATTCTTGATTCCAATAAGAAACCATGGTTTTCCATCCAAACAACAACTTTAGTAAAGGAATCACCTCGGATTATCCTATCTGGCATTGGGATCGGCCTCTCAAGCTTCTTAGTAATTCTTTTACCAGCGGGTGGCAGTCACAGGTGTAGTGACAGCGACAAAGACAGTAACAGCAATAGCAAGAGGAAGCGCAACGGCAAGGCTGGCAAAAATGTTATCAATAGGAATGGCAATGGCAATAGCAACAGCAACTACAATGGCAACAGGCAAGACACCCATATTATTTTCCATTTTCCGAAAGACTTGGTGAATAAAAGTCACCACCCTGTCCCTTTCAAACTGCAAATTCTCTCTGCTTACCACGCCAAATAATGATTATGGCCTTTCCTAATCACGTGATCGCCACTCATGTAGCTCTCTCTACGTTAGATATCTCGGGGATAGCTTAGTAGTAAAATTCATTTTAAGTCAACGAGCATAAGCTTCCTAAGCACCGTCACAGTATTGAGGTGTTTTGCTGGTGGACATGTGCATTTCGGAGTTTTGGAGCCCTCATCCGGTGCGCCCCGCACCGTCTTCTGGGACACCACTTAGAGTAAACACAAATCCGAAAGCAAGTAACAAGGCAAATCCCCCCTATATGAGACTCTGCAGCTTTCGCATTTCTCAAACTTCTTGTCAGCACTCGATGTTTATTTCCCCGTCCCCATCCTGGGCTCAAACTCGGGATAAATTCGCTTTCCCTATATCAGAAGCCTGGCCCACAAACTGCACACCGACCAAAATGTCGAAGTGGGCCAACCCTTCTCCTCCATTAACGCCTGCCATCTAGATTCACGATTTCTTCTGTAGGCTACTGCGTAATTATTTGGGCTCATATTGATTAAAAAATACAAAATTTTCTATAAAATTACAACGACAATCTGGCCGAGTGGTTATGGCGTGTGACTCAAGCATAAGCTTGCCAGTTCTCAAACTGGCTGGGTTTCTCATGGGCTTTGCCCGCGTGGGTTCGAATCCCACGGTTGTCAACATTTCTTTTTTGCTCTTTGATCCTTTTTTGGGTTTCCGAATTGAGATGACTTTTTGCTCCTCTTGTTGCTTAGTTGAAGAAATTGACGATATGACGCCGATAAATGGATATATATACTGTACACAAGAAACCTCAAATGATAAGATGTGACGAGGTCAAGTGCATGCTCACAAAATAGTTTCGATCCAAAGTTTTGGTAGGTTGATTCATATGGTCAATGTAGGTCTTTTTCGTACCTACTTGCGTCCTACATCAAGATTTTGATCTAGTCTTATTCCCAAAGTAGAGGAAGGTCGCAGCTTTCTTAGTACTAGCAGTATTCTTTAAGATCCTTATGGTGTAGAATTGAGTATTTGTCAGTGATGGTGAAAGGAGCGGACCCCGTTTAGACTAGCCTCTACTGCGCCGCGACTGCGCCTCAGCTTGGCATACCCACCAGCTCCGCCTGTACGTCAGCGACGCTCCGCCATTCAAGAAGGCATGTAACCACGCAACTGCGCTATTAAACACCATGGTGTCCTACAGAGACGCTGGTTGAACAGCAACCTCCAGTAATCGTAAACACAAACTTCTGTCATTTTCCCAATCTCAGACGCGTTTCTATACACAAATTCCAGCTATGGAGGAGTCCATCCCCGCATATGGCTCTTCCGCATCTGCGCTGTACCATGTCCCGAGTCCGGTATATGAACCCCCAATTTCCAGTCCTCCCGGCAGCGCTCGATATGACTCTGCCTCCGAGCCGTTGGAGATGCCGCCGTCCTATACTCCTATTGATCCTCGCGAAACCACCTTTACTATTCTAGGCACCTTCATCCACACGAACAGCGGTCCAGCCTACCAGCTCTCTCGTGCCCTAAACCAACGACACTACAACCTTTTCATCCGTCGTCTCAGACCTAAAGAGCAGCAAAAGGCACTCCATACCCCCCTCCCATTTGACTACGATGCCGTCCTATACGAGGTCATCGCGGGATCCAGCATCATCAGCGAGGAGTCTGTTATAAAGGGACATAGGAAGAGCTGTCTACCCGGAACATTGACTCTCAAGGGAACAGAAAGGAAGACCTGGTTCGAGCTCTCCTCCGCCCCCAACACCCCATCACGCAGCGTTCTCCGCGCCGGAGCAGTTGGCCTCGGCGCTCGCAAAGTGCTAAAGAAACGAGGGGGCGGAGAGACTTCGGAGTGGAAGGACGCGCAGGGGAAGGTGGTTGCGAAGGAGATACTCAGGGATGCAAAGGATGGGGGTATTGTGCCGGTGCTGGAGGTCGAGGGGGGTGTGGATAGTATGTGGAGAGAGGCAATTGTGGCGTGCTGGGTCGCGAGACTATGGAACGCGTACGCGGCAGAGAAGAATAAGGGGCAGGAGAGGACGAGAAATAAGATTTTTGGGGCGGGGGGGCCGGTGGGGTGGAGGTTGTTTGGGAAGGAGGGATATTGAGGTAACATGTGGTGTGTGGGAGTGAAGATTTGGAGTTGTCGGGGTTTGAGTTTTGGCATGACTTCTCCTTATTTGGAGTTCTGACATATGGAGTCCGGCAGTGAGATGGCTTTACGATTGATATGGTATGATATATGATTTTCTTTCCTTGAGGGCTGCTGTCCGCATTTGCGTCGTATCAGGCTTTTAAATATTGCTTGAAAAATTCATACAAGCCATCTGCGCATGGTTCTTACCCAACTATCATTTGTAAGGGAGATGTTTTTGTTGTAGTGAATGTTCGACTTCGTGGGGTTCCGCCTCTGGACCGGTAAGTAAGTTTACAGGCATGTCCCTTCGCATACCACCCCCTTTCATTTCCAACAGTCGACAGCTTTGAATCTCTTGCGAAATCCTGAAGCTGAGGCAAGATAGAGCATATGCAGGTAGATGGCGCCGGGGAAGCTAAACCCAAAATGGTCGAGTAGTATCACCCCGCCCTGGCCACCGTTCCAACTCCTTCATATTGAGAATATAGACTTTAATACGCCTTGCCACGAGGTTTCACTCAAATGAAACTCCTTATATAAGATCCTCACGCTGCATCACAGATTGGAAGGGACATTCAAGCGGCCCCAATACAATATCGGTGTTCCCAATTCACTGCTGTTTTCAAATATGTCTACTCTAACGAGGGAAGAAACCATCAGATCGGGTGAAGCAGCACTTGAATACAGAGAAGTCGGTATTTCAAATTATATCAAGAGTCTTTTTCCTCTTCCAATCTTTGCTAAAGGGCAATAAATATTAAAACTTTTTCCAATCTCAGTCTTCTGATTTATAAACGCATTCTCCCTTCTCCCCTTTTCTTCATTCCACACTCCAACGTCCCTATCCTTCCCAGTATCCCTCGCAGCCCAAATCTGATAATGCCCAACCTAACCTACAATCAGGCCTTCACAGCCCGCCCCATTGAGATCACTGGCGAAGACATCTTTGCCATCCGCGCCTCCCGCGCTGCCCACCTCCAAGCCCTCCGCTACCTCTACCCTCTCCCTGGACCCATTCCACATGAGGTCACCGAGACTGAGCACCATATCACCATGCGCGACGGCTTGACCATCACACTCCGGGTGTACCTACCCAAAGAAGATGGGAGTACGATAAACCGGGACAGGTTAGATGATGGCAAGGCACTGGTTATGATGTATCACGAAGGTGGATGGTGTATGGGGGATTTGACGGACGAGGATTTGAATTGTAGAATGTTTTGTCAGCAATTGGGGGTTGTGTGTGTTAATGTGGAGTATAGGTCAGTTCGGTCTCCATGCTTCCTTTTTATAAGGACTGGGTATCGCATGTCCCAGAAAAAGTGTGGGAGATCGTGTGATGCTATAGAAGATAGAGAATTGGGGTGATTTCATATATGCTGATTCCATACCAGACTCGCCCCAGAGCACCCCTTCCCAACCGGCGTACACGACTGCTACGATGCTCTCCTTTGGGCCATCTCCGCTGCCCCCTCCCTCGGCGCAAATCCCTCCCGCGGTCTCATCGTCGGTGGCGCATCAGCAGGTGGTAACCTTGCCGCCGTACTAGCATGCTTAGCAAGAGATGAGGAATTAAATCCGCCTATTACTGGACAGTACTTGTGTGTCCCGGCACTATTACCGAAGGATAATGTGCCCGAGAGGTTTAGGGAGGAATATGAGAGTAGAGAGGCGAATAGGAGTGATCCGGTGCTTAAGGAGTTGAACGAGGATTTGATCAGCGGTGAGCGCTCTCATACCCCCACTCACTTTCCCTCCGCCTAGAACTAGTCTGATTATGCGAACTGCAAATAGTAATTCTCGCACCCGATCCCAAATCGCCGCTCTGGGACCCTTTCAACCACGCCCTCCGCCAAACTGACAATTCGACCAAGCTTCCCAGAGCGTATTTTCAAGTCTGTGGTATGGATCCTTTAAGGGATGAGGGGATTCTGTATGAGAGGGTTCTGAGGGAAAGCGGAGTCGAGACGAGGTTGGACCTGTATGAAGGTTATGGCCATATGTTCTGGACGAACTATCCTGAGCTTGAGAGAAGCCGAAAATTCGGGCTCGATACGGTCGAGGGAGTGAGGTGGTTGCTCAGGAAAGAGTAGGGTGGTGGGATAGGCCAGGGGGGGAGGGTTGATATTGAAGGAGTGCTAGAATCTTTGGGGGGATACTAGGATACTCTATATCTAGGATATGTCGGGGAGAGTATAATATTTATGAATTAGAGACTTTTTTTCTTTATAGATTTTGCTAATGAGAAGACTAGCAGAAAGAGAGCACTAAAGAGTGTAGAAAAGAGTGTAGAAAGGAATGTAGATAAAAATGATTAAGAAAAAAGGATGAAAGAAAGAGATAGAGGAGGATAGTAGAAGGGGGTTCGAAAAGAGAGGAAGAGGAGAGGAAAAGCAGAAGCGGAAAAGAAGATGCAAAGACAAAGAGGAAGAGAAAACGAAAAGAGGTAGGATTGATAAACTTATAGGTAAGAATATAATATATCTCCTATTTTACTTTATATACATTCTCTCTGAAGGTATTCTACGTCCTTCGTTTGTATTTCGACTTTGCTCTTTTAATTTCATCGATTGTCATATCCACTACGTTCACCTGCATAGTGTTGAAGAGATTAGAAGCCCAGAGTGGCGTAGAGGGAGGTTGGGGGGTTATAGGAGGACTGGATATGTAAGTACATATGTCTAGGTAGACCCATTGCGTTAATAATAGTCCTGCTGCAACGGGAGGATTGCATCAACTAACTATACAATACAAGTCCGTTTCCATGATGTGGCGTGTGTCTCGAAGAGTCAACGAACTTTTTCAATCTTAACAGAATAAAAGGAGAAATAAAATAGCTAAAGGATCTCGAGACCATGCGTGTAATAATTGTTTATAGACATTGCGCTGGAAAGAGGTAATTAGAGCGTTTATTTTATTTTCTTCACATGAATGGGTAAGAAGATATTCAGGAATACAATTAAAAAGAATTTTTCTATGGTGATGTCTAAAGCTAATCTTTCTAACTATTAGGAAGTAGAAGTTACATTATACGGAGTTCAAACTGTGAGCATCATCACTGAATTACCTGTCCGCCTATCGTATGGGTCAAAATAGGAGTTTAAAACAACCAAAAAAACACTCGATTATGCATCATACGCAATGTTGCCAAAAAGAAGAATTAACTGGGCTCCACCGCGATTCGAACGCGGGGCCTCCTGCATATTTGAATAAAGAACCCAAAGCAGGAATCATACCACTAGACCATGAAGCCAGGAAGGGTTAATTCTAATGTCCCGTGCCAGACTCGAACTGGCGGCCTTGGGATATCCAACTGTAAACAGTCAGTCATAGATACAGAGCTATGAGACCCACGTGATAACCAACTACACCAACGAGACTTCTTATTTGATGAAATATTATGATGTAAGGAAGAATTTTGTAGGAATAACAAAGAGGAAAAGGAATAAAGGACGGAAAGCCGAAAGAGCAAAAAGAATATCAACGAATTCCGGTACCGGGAATTGAACCCGGGCATTGACGGTGAAAGCGTCACATCCTAGCCACTAGACCATACCGGATGGTTTTGTTGAATTGATAGAAAAAATTATATAATTATAATATATAATACAATAAACACGTTTGTTCGTTAGTATTGCGGGGTACAGTGGGTACTTTACCCTTGGGCATTCCACGGAACCGGCGAGTCATATTATCGTATGACAGTTTTATACTGTTGACCTTGCATTGGGATAACTGTATCAGCTATTACAGTTCAGGGAAGAGTCACTGATGATGTAGTTTGCTCTTAAAAATTTCAACGTGTTGTAAATAAGTGATATCAAACTTCGGCAGGCACAGCTGCAAACCTGCATAGACGCATGTCATGAATCTCAAATAATCAATGGAGAGATAAGGAAGGAAACTTCATTGAGGGTGCATACTGAGTAGTGCATCCGAGTTTCTGAGAGCGTCGAACTCCTTACTAATGAAATGTTTATGCAGGACCTTGAATTCGCAGTGCCCTCGATCCAATTGCTTCCTTATACATCGTTATCATTGCTGCAATCATGTATGTCGACGTGGACTCCCATACGGATGTAGTTGATATCCATTTTAGATACTGTCCACTCCCTGCGCTTCGAGGAGCACACAGCAAGCACGAGGGTCCACACGTGGGAATGCACGCGACGATGAGAAGGGAAGACAGGGCCTCAGGGAACAGACTAAACATAGAGAAAAGAGCTCGGCAAAAACCCTTCGTTCGTGTATATGCTTATATCATCATGCGACGACGCAGGGAAGATCATGGGAAGATTAGGGAAATTCTTCTAGAGAATCGATAGCGTGTCTGGCCAAACAAGATGCAGGGAATGATCTAATAAACCCTGCGCATGAGTAATGCTGGGCTGAGGGCCCTATGGTGACACGATGATTAATTTTCGGCGTGAATGATAAAGTTCAGCAGTGATATCTCAAGTATCGATTTTGCCGCAACGAAGATTATAGTCACTAAGTATCGCATGAAACGGCTTCAAATAGAGGTCGGATATGTGACCCTTCAACACCTAGATATACCTAGATGCGATGAATTTGGGAGCGATTGAGAGCAAGAAGACGTACTTATAAAGCATGTCAGAAATAAAGTCAGGGAGCTTTGCATAACATGGGTCGGGGTGCTTGTTTTGTCTCGGGCAGTAAACTTTTGTTTCAAACAGTCGACTTGACATTCAAAAGTGCGTGAAGTATGCGTGAAGTACCTGACGACTCGATCATGTCCGATAGTGGTAGCGTGGAAGCCGGCACAGAATTCGCAATTCCCGTGTTGCGTGATTGGTGTACTTCCTCGTCGTTCGGCGTCGGTCGAAATGGCACTTAGCTGCTACCGACACAAGAGTAGGACTGTTGAAATCACCAATGGGAGTGACTTTGATAGATACATAATTGGGCCGGCTGTTCCAATCCGGAGGTTCTGCGAGTGTTCAAGTTTTGCAGTGGCATAGGCGGAGATCCCGACGTTGCTATCGAACTGCACCCTGGCTGATACCCTGGTGGGTAGACATAAAAAGTGCTGGACGTGTGTACGTATTGGGCCTGCGGGCAGACATGTGTAAGAGAAAGTTTGGATATGAAAGTAAGGGCGGAGGCCCCTATGTCCGAAGGGTGGGCCAAAAGCATATTTCAGACACTGATGCTTTTAACCAGCAGTAAATATATCGCAAACCATGTCAATATGAGGGCATGAAAATTATATGCATGCCACTGCAACAAGATGCATTCTCGTTGGCAGCCGTTTTCAGATGAGGGGTTGGTCTCACTATGAAGTGAAGTAATATGCAGGGCCACGCATTGCAGAGCGTTGACGGCCGCAGAGGTTGCAATCCACATGATTTTGGAAGAGACCAAAGCAAGTTAAAGTAGCTTCCGCGAACGTAACGGCCCCTGGACGCCCCCTCCCCTTCCACGATATCCGGAGTGATGTTGTACTGGTCACCCACGACGTTAGTTTGGACCCTTTGCCTTGCGGCCACTAAAAATATCGAGTAACCACACAGGAAGCTGGTAAGGTAAAGAGCGGAGCACGTAATCAAATCCTGCTTTTCTTTTCTCCCGTGTTTCTTTTGTGGCAGCCGTAACAAAGGCCGAGGGCGGGGGAATAGCATCATCCCAGCCATTGCAACACCTCACCCCAAGGATTGATTTTGCCCAATTAGCCGCCCGAATGACGCGATATTTTGTCTCATCGCGGCACAGTTGAAGAGAACATTCGGCCCGAGTGCGCAAAAGGCTCGCGGATATTAGATAAATGTATGCATCGAGCCGCGAGGATACCTGGTTAAGATACACCGGTTAGATACACCGGTTAGATACACGATGGTGGCGGGAGAAGAATCTTAATTGGACTTCGGGTTTCCAATTGTTATCCTTATCTGTGGGAAATAGTCCGTTAGCCAGAACACTTTATAGTAGGAAAATTTAAAGCCTTGAGAAGACCCGTCTAGGGCAAGTCCGCATTGCTAGGGCTGGGGGCGGGAGCGGGAGCTGGAGCTGGAGCCGGAGCCGGAGCCGGAGCCTGTGTCAAGGTGATTGACGGCCAGAGGAGAAAGAGGGGAGGATGACTCACAAGAGAATGCTGCAGAAAAGATGCAATAAAACTGCCCCACTAATAGCGTTGCAGAAGTGGAGTGTTAGGATACTCTGCCTAGATGGGTAGATGTGATACTGTGTGCTCGTACTGGAACCACACAGATCTATCATCAGTCGGGAACACTGTCGGGGAAGTAGTCACTGCTCCGTATTTTGGACAGAGAGCCTCTAGATAAGGACCAGTGAGTGAGCAAACCACAAAATAAGTGTTCGGTGCAACACGGGGAAGACTGGATAGCAGGTTTCTGACAGGTTCCCATTGTATGGCTACCGTCGGCTACAGCCTACAATAAGTTCGGTTGGGGAGCTGAAGGCAGAAACACGGACAAGTTTTAAGCTGGGTGGATCCACGTGGCAATGTGAAAAAGAAGAATTAGAGAGCTGTCGAATGAGGGTGCTATAGAACTCTCTTATTGTCAGTCGAATAAGAAGGAGGAGTTCTCTATCACCGAGGGTACTGTGTAAAGGGAGTGATTGGATCAGCCAAGAAAAGCAGAACTTGGGAAAGGAAGCGCCAAAGGAGATCGCCGGGGGCGTAAGAATATATGCCTAATACGGCAGACGTGACGATGCTGACGATGGTGATTGACACTGCCCACGTGCCGCCACTCTAGAGATGGGAGACACCACTGCGGCTCTGACATCTGAACATCCAGGAAGTTTTGGCTTTGGACAAGGACGCCTTCTGCCGTGGAGTAGCACGGCATCGGCTCTTCGTCCGTAAGACAGCGCGAAAGGGTGATTGGAACACTGTAACAAGGAGTTTGGTCTAAATGCTTACGTCGGAGACTGGGGTGGTGTTGTGTTCCTTCAGCGCAGGAAAGCGTTGAAACTGTACAAGTACCCACTTGCCCCTCCACACCCTCCCCATCTCTAGCCCCTCTCCCAGCGTCTGCAGCCTTTTCCAAGCTCCCCTCATGATCGTCAAAAAGTGCAGCGTCTGCAAGCAATTGGGGTGTTCCGTGGAGCTATTCCAGGGTGCTTGGGGCGATGAACGATGGTTCAGGCTACTGTACTTGTGATGACTTCATGGAGCTGTGATTCGCAGAGAAGGACTGTCCGTCTGTCGGGAATTTAGCGTGCTGCAATTGGGGGCCGCTAAATGGGCCTGCATCCAAGTTTCCGGTCCTGGAGCTGCATTTTGAGCTCCCCTTGGGTTCTTCCGAGCCAGGCCGGGCTTGTGAATTGATGATGGCTGCGAAAAAGCCGCTCAACAGCATGGAAGTTTGACACGCATATGCAACTGCATTGATAAGACGAGAGCTCCGTGTTGAAAATTGTATCAGAGTTTCGGCTGAGTGAAGAGGGATAATGGAAGGGGGATAATGGAAGGGGGATAATGGAAGGGGGATAACGGAAGGGGGATAATAGAAGAGAACCTTCTCTCCCCACCCCCCCCTCCCCCCTCCCCTCTTCCCCCCATCTCCCCTTCCCTTCCCCCCCCACGCAACCTTCTGCAACCTGCTCTCTTACTTGATAGAGGGAGAGGGAACGGAAGGCGGAAAAAGGGCTGATACAGAAGACAGCGGCAGCGGCAGCGGCACCAGCACCACCAGCACCACCAGCACCAGCACCAGCACCAACACCAGCCAGTGACAAGCGGTTCGACACGGGCCACCCGGGCAGCCTGGAGACTCCAGCCCTGGAGATCGCTGGGGATTGGGGAAAAAGCCGGCGGTGGCCTGTGGGTGGCCTGTGGGCCGTGAAGGGTCCCTTCGTGTTGGCGCCCAGCGGCACAAACGTTGGTGTGTCCTCGACGATGCGCTCCCCCCCCCCTCAAAATCTCGGTGGTAGGAGTGATACCGGCGGCCACTGGCTGTAGACGCCGTTAGGCTGTCACTGTTGCTGTGATTCTGCGACAAGAGGTGTGGTTGTCATATCGTACCGGTCGGTGCAGGTAGTAGAACACTGCTCGCCCGCAGGTATTTGGGCAGTTACCTATCTCTACATGTGCCACGGCCCCTCCACACAATTTCTCTCTGGTGCTTGGAAGATCCCCGCCCGCCTCGAAAACACGCTTCCTTCGCTATCTCACTCCTTTTTACGCCGCCCTCCCATTCCATTCCCATCCCCACAAAACATCGTCACCCCCGTTCCCGACGATCCATCTTCACCTCGTGCTGTCTAATTTCTTCGCTCTCAAACTTTCTCTGTGCATCATCCTCTGCACTGTCTCCGCCAGGTCGACCGTACACGCCACAAGGTTCAGTACGTGGACGGCCTGTTCGGAGGGTCTCGTCGCAGCCACTTTCAG